TCAAATGTAATAGGTAGGTAGTTAGATAAGTAAGTTGGCAAGCATTCATCCCCTCAAATGTAATAGGTATCTAGATAAGTAAGTTGGCAAGCATTCATCCCCTCAAATGTAATAGGTATCTAGATAAGTAAGCTGGCAAGCATTCATCCCCTCAAATGTAATAGGTAGGTATCTAGATAAGTAAGTTGGCAAGCATTCATCCCCTCAAATGTAATAGGTAGGTATCTAGATAAGTAAGTTGTTAAGCATTCATCCCCTCAAATGTAATAGGTAGGTATCTAGATAAGTAAGTTGGCAAGCATTCATCCCCTCAAATGTAATAGGTAGGTATCTAGATAAGTAAGTTGTTAAGCATTCATCCCCTCAAATGTAATAGGTAGGTATCTAGATAAGTAAGTTGGCAAGCATTCATCCCCTCAAATGTAATAGGTAGGTATCTAGATAAGTAAGTTGGCAAGCATTCATCCCCTCAAATGTAATAGGTAGGTATCTAGATAAGTAAGTTGGCAAGCATTCATCCCCTCAAATGTAATAGGTAGGTATCTAGATAAGTAAGTTGTTAAGCATTCATCCCCTCAAATGTAATAGGTAGGTATCTAGATAAGTAAGTTGGCAAGCATTCATCCCCTCAAATGTAATAGGTAGGTATCTAGATAAGTAAGTTGGCAAGCATTCATCCCCTCAAATGTAATAGGTAGGTTTCTAGATAAGTAAGTTGGCAAGCATTCATCCCCTCAAATGTAATAGGTAGGTATCTAGATAAGTAATTTGGCAAGCATTCATCCCCTCAAATGTAATAGGTAGGTATCTAGATAAGTAAGTTGGCAAGCATTCATCCCCTCAAATGTAATAGGTAGGTATCTAGATAAGTAAGTTGGCAAGCATTCATCCCCTCAAATGTAATAGGTAGGTATCTAGATAAGTAAGTTGTTAAGCATTCATCCCCTCAAATGTAATAGGTAGGTATCTAGATAAGTAAGTTGGCAAGCATTCATCCCCTCAAATGTAATAGGTAGGTATCTAGATAAGTAAGTTGGCAAGCATTCATCCCCTCAAATGTAATAGGTAGGTATCTAGATAAGTAAGTTGGCAAGCATTCATCCCCTCAAATGTAATAGGTAGGTATCTAGATAAGTAAGTTGTTGAGCATTCATCCCCTCAAATGTAATAGGTAGGTATCTAGATAAGTAAGTTGTTAAGCATTCATCCCCTCAGTTATTGTGTGATGTGTAAGTGAAGGACCCTTTTACACGCCTTCCGGCTTATCGCGCATATAGAGCTATGCAATTTTGCTACCTCTAGGTTTTATCTGGGCTCATCTAAATACTGTTCTTTCTTTCATTGTTGTAAAAAAGTTAGTATGAACACATCAGATGACAAACACCCCCATCGGCAGTTACTGATTTTATTAGCTGATTCAACAACTGTACTGTCCGGTCACTGTTCTGTGTTCTCATCAACAATACAAGAGCCCAATTATAAATACTGCTTCAGAAACATCACAGCTCAAATCTAGATGCAATTACCTTTCAAACTGTACAACTCGTTTATGCCGGCATCTTCCAGTTCCACACAGTGGAATATTGTAGTCGGTTAACAATCACTCACATCGATACCGCCATGTCTCTCAGCGTCCCAAACTCCTGCACGTAGTCAGGCAGTCTGTAAGCTTCACAGTCGTTCCTTTGTACTCGACCGCACACATACCCGTCCAAACATCAACTGATTTTCTATCTTTTCTCGCTTTCAAGCTTTCCGCTCACCATAGTTAATAAAAACACCAAATACGCTAAACACATCATTTACCTGCGTCTCTCGCTTCCTATGGTCTTCTGACCTTCTATGTCATCAGTGACATCTGGGGGTTCCCCTGGGGTACGTCATCAGTGACATCATCTGGGGGTTCCCCTGGGTTTCCCATCACTACAGGCTAGGCCTATATTGTGTATGCCAATTTGCACTCTGTTGGTGATTTTGTCAAAATCACGCCGGCCGCCTTTACTCCCCAGATGGTACCTGGTGCCCACTCAAGGCTGGGTCGATCTGGAAGCCAAAGTCATTGAAAACAAAAGGTCCGTCTGGACCTGAACCCGCGCCCTTTCGATCCGCAAAGCATGGTCTAGTCCCACACCAGGGCGGCGACCATTGGATATGTAGCTTGCTAGTTAAGTAGTTGGTGGGCATTTATTCCGTTAGATAAGTTAGCATAGGCGGCGAGTGGTTGGCGGGGAGTGGGGGCGGGGAGAGAGAGATATCATCATCAGTCAGCCAGTCCTTTACAGAGCCTCGCACTCCACACGGGACCCCTGAAAGTATCCCTATCCCTAGCCAGCTCTCCAGTCCCATGTGCTTTCAATGCCAATGCATTTTCAATGTCCTGTACCTATCTTCGCGGAGGTCGACCCCTGCCTTGCTGTTCACAAAATGCACCCTACATCATAGTCTTTTTCAAGCCACAATGACATTTGTTAAGGCCACAATACTTCAACTTTCGGGACAGGACGCTGTTGATGAGCCCGTTCTTGATGTTCTACTAGTGTCGAAAGTCGATGTTTTTCTTTTTCTTGAGTCATGGTATTCAGAGAATGTTTCTGTAAAATTGTCATCCAAAAGCTTCAGTCTTTGTCTTGAGAATTTTTCTGTAAAATTGTCATCCAAAAGTTCCAGTCTTTGTCTTGAGAATGTTTCTGTAAAATTGTCATCCAAAAGCTTCAGTCTTTGTCTTGAGAATGTTTCTGTAAAATTGTCATCCAAAAGCTTCAGTCTTTGTCTTGAGAATGTTTCTGTAAAATTGTCATCCAAAAGCTTCAGTCTTTGTCTTCAGTGACTCAGTGACTCAGTGACTCAGTGACTTAGTGACTCAGTGACTCAGTGACTCAGTGACTCAGTGAGAGTCTAGAACTAGCAACCGTAAGTTGCCACCAGAAAAAATGCACTATCACAAGAATTTAACTTTCACTAATTTATTGGTGGTTTGCCATAAGTACTTCATGCTGTTCAATCTCTGAATTGCTAATGCAAGTCTTCTTCTGACTGCTTTCGAGCAGTCTCCACTGTTGTTCGCTCAAGAGCCTAATTATTCGATTTGTTAGTGGATCAGTTTCTCACATGCCTCATCGCAAATTGCGTTTCTCAAATGTAAATGTGTGTTTTTTCTATTTGTGCATTTATGTCTATGTATGTGCATGTGTTTTATGTTTGTGTATATATGTAGATGCGTGAGTGTATGTATTACGAATGTCTATATGAGTGTGCATGTATGAAAACGTAGGAGTGCGTATAAGTTTGTGTGAGTGTGTACGATTGTGTACACATGATGTGTGTATTCAATATTCTATAATTTATTTTTCTTTATTATATTCATAACAAGCATTATTGATAGCAGGCATTGGTACTATGAAAAATGAGTGCTTAGAAGGGCCGAATGTCAGAGGGGCCTGCGTGCCCAATTTGTAACCCTTTGAAAATAAAGTTTGTTCGTTCGTTCGTTCTCAAAACATTCTCAGCATATGTTAAAAAGCGACGAAGAAAGAATTCAGGGAATGGGAAGATAGGTAAGTAGGTTTCCGTGTCCTTATTCCTTCAGACAAATCATTGATATTGATATATGCTTCTTGTTATTCAGTTCATAAAACATAGCTTTTATTAACTCTTCAGATGATGCCAGTGGGGAGGTAATATTCCAAGTCGAATGCCAGAATCACTGTATAGGAACCGAGGCTGTCAAAGTGATAACAAAACTGGACAGACTGAAAGCCATATTGACAGAAACTGTCAACCCGTTAGCCATCCTGGCCTCTGCTTTAGGTCTGGCTTCTGACGACCTTGGTGGCATTGACACCACACTGGCCTTCAAGCTTCAACAGTTGGCTCCAGCCGCGACATTTGACAGACTGTTTCCTTGCGAAGACGCGCTGCAGAACGTTATGAAAGGTACAGTACTGAAATAGCTTCTTTTTTTGTTTTTCATCAGTATGATCATTGTGTAGCAGGTTCTTTTTAGTCTCATCACCATACTCGAAACTTCACTTGCGGATACATTTCTTCGGCTTTCACCCATTCACTGATCACACATAGCATAACAGACCGCTGCTCCTTTTTGGTGCATGTCAAAAGTGGAGCGGCCATGCATGCAGGCAGGCAGGCAAACAGACAGACAGACAGACAGGAGGGTCGACATACATACATACATACCTACGTACGTATACACACACACACACACAAACACACAGACACACAGATACAGAGACATACAAACATACAGACATACAGACATACAGACATATATACATACATACATACATACATACATACATACATACATACATACATACATACATACATACATACATACATACATACATACATACATACATACATACATACATACATACATACATACATACATACATACATACATACATACATACATACATACATACATACATACATACATACATACATACATACATACATACATACATACATACATACATACATACATACATACATACATACATACATATCATACATACATACATACATACATACATACATACATACATACATACATACATACATACATACATACATACATACATACATACATACATACATACATACATACATACATACATACATACATACATACATACATACATACATACATACATACATACATACATACATACATACATACATACATACATACATACATACATACATACATACATACATACATACATACATGCATGCATACATACATACATACATACATACACACAGACATACAAACATACAGACATACCGACAGACATACATATATACATACATACAGGAGGGTCAACCATATCCGAATTACAGATCAATTGTTTTGTTGAGAGGGAGGCTGAATGTCCCATAATCCCTAGTTTCCGGAGCCCTTGCTTGAAGCAAAAGTGTATCCTTTACTTTACCAATTTCACAATCCCAATGATTTCTGTCTCATCTTGTATTTACAGACGATAGAACAGACGTGCGATATCCAAGTCTGCTTCATTTTGCTGCTGATTTCAATCTGCGGACGTTCTGCACAGAATTGCTACGCTTTCCTGGCATGCTGGCGGCTTCACTAACAGAGAACTGTGACGGGGAATTCCCTAGTCAGATAGCTGCCAGAAAAGGCTACACGCTTATAGAGACTGACCTGCTGCACTTTGTCGAAGATTACAAATGTAAGACAATTTCAGATAACAATTAAAATTGCTCTATAATGTATCTTCAGAAGTAGGTGATAAAGTTAGATCACTATCTCCAGAAATCGGTAATAGTGTTATACTACCATCAGACTTCATAAATAGGTGATAAAGCTGTGCATAGATCTATCTTTGGAAGTGTGTGTTAAATTTTTACCACCATGCAATTTCGCAAGCATATGATAAATCTGTTATACAGCTAACCCTCAGAGGTAGATGATGGATATGTTAGGACACCCGCCTTCACAAAGATAATAAAGATGTAACAGTATCTGCCTTCAAAGATATTATCCACCTTCAGAGCCAGATGAGGAAGTTGTACCATTGTCTACCTTCAGAAGTCGATAATAAAGCTGTACCATTATCTACTTTTAAAAGTAGATAATAAAGCTGTACCATTATTAGCCTTCAGAAGTAGATAATAAAGTGTTACCATTGTTCACCTTCAGAAGTAGACAGTAAAGCTGTACCATTATACATCCCTAAATGCACGCACACATATTTTTTTTTTTTCGTTTACACCTGCTTTTGATTCAATGAGGCCCTGTAAACTTATATTTAATGGCACCTACGCCATAAAACTTTGAATCCGAACTGAATTTTCAAGTAAATTATGCTTCTGAACTCGAACGCCACCTTGGAAACCGAACGGCTGGTACGTACCAAACACGTTACTGAACAGCACGTGTGAGAGCTTCAGCACCTTCAACAGCAGCAAAAAGAAAAATCTGCAGAAAGAAAATTCTTCCTGACAGAAGAGGCAGAAACTTGAAAGGGTCAGCACTACCGAAATCTAAGATAAACTGAAAGGGTCAGCACTACCGAAATCTAAGATAAGATCTTTTGACTGGGTGGTCGAAAACGCAAGATGTTGTTGAGAAGTGGCACCCTGTTAGAACCCATGGAAACAGTTGTGGTCATGTGTCCAGTGATAACAAAGATGTTGTTCATGTGTCCAGTGATAACAAAGAGTTCATGTGTCCAGTGATAACAAAGATGTTGTTGACAAGTGGCACCCTGTTAGAGCCCATGGAAACAGTTGTGTTAATGTATCCAAAAAAACATTCTCAAACATTTTAGAAAAAAATTGAAAATGGTCGAGTATTTGTAAAGCGTGGCGTAGTGGCTATACGCACGTGACGTGCGGATCGGAAGGTCGTGGGTTTGCTCCCTGGTGGATACGACAATTTTTTTTTTTCAAAAATGACCTTGACTCCTAGGTCGACCCAGCCGTGAATGGGTACCGGGTGCAATCCCGGAAGTAAAGACAGCCGGTGTAATGCAGAACACATCATCCACAACCACAAATCCTCTACAATTTGTCAACGACTACGATATTAAACGTAGCGCTGGAGTAGAAACTAAATCTATTCTACCATCCATCTGTAGGTGAAAGCTTGTTGTACGTGTCGCCTACACCACGTCCACATCACAGCTCTGGAAGACCAAGCCCACACTCGGTAGAAAAGCAAGCACGTTACATAAATCAGCACCAGACTCCGTCTACAGCCAGCGGTCTCTACATCGACATGGGGAATGTCAACATTTCTGCTGGTTCAGCCACAGGTTTGTATGTTTTATATAACTGGGTCGAGCGACTAGGAAAGTTGAAGTCACAGTTTTGAGATCATGCATCTTTTCCGTGGTAACTTTTTGATCTGGGTAGCGGTGTCTAAGTGGGTCTATGAAGAATAAAATCTGTGCTTCTGAACTGATATGGTACAGTAAATTCTCAGAAGAAGAATAAAGTCAATATCTTATAGGACCTGAACATCAAGGAGAACTGGCTCATAAACAATATCATCACCTGAAAGTTGTCAAGCGCCACTGTGGTCTGGAAAGAACTGTGATCGAAGGTGCAGTTTCCCGAAAACAAGGCGAAGGTGGAAACAGGGCATTGGAGATGTATGTGCCATAAAGGCACACATGGCATTGGAATAAGAGACTTTCATGTGTTCCTTGAAGAGATCCGTGTTCTATAAAGGACACGCTGATTGATTTGAGTGAATCATTAAAGACATGAAAAGAAAATTAAATACATTTGATAACAAGTGCCTGTGGAAACTTTTGAACATGAAATGGGATCAATTCAAGAAGGCTGGAGAAATAAGAAAAATTTAAATAATGCGGACACTAACAATAGATTGCACAATTTATTGCCAGGCATATTTCGCTGTATCTCGTCAAGTGCGTTACTGCAGAGTTACATCAACATAAAATAAAGCACAAAACTGAATAAATCCAACTGATATGCGAATAGTTTCTTTCGACACACTTTGTGTGTTATTTGGCCACCCGAAGCTCACCGTAGTCATGTGACTTATAAGGGTAACTTCAAATTTACAATAAAATCCGTCTGCTTACTAGGGAGGGGGTTGTTGATTTTAATTGTTAAAGCTTCGACGATTCTCGTCTCCTGTTCGGGTGTGTGTGGGCAACATATGGTAACAGCAATTATGAGACAAAGAAAAAATCGCGATATGGGACACATCATAAGAAGAAGCAAGCAGAGAATCGCCAAGCGGGCAGTAAAATGGGATATAACCGGATTGAGAAAGTGAGGAGACACCAGAACAAACGTTAATGATAAAGGACAAAGCTGGACTGGATTCCATCCATGAACTGATTGCACAGGACATAGCATAATGGAGTAATAGACTGCGAGCCTTATGTGACATGTAATAGCACCACAGAATACTGATGATGAAAGAAGATGATGATGAGAATGATGATGAAGGTAATTACCGGGTACCTCTTTTAGACTGGGTCGACACAGGAGACAGGATCAGTTCTGAAAACAAAATCAAACTCCATGCGCATTAGAGGTCAAGATCTTTAGACCGGCAGGCAAACCTGTCGTCATTACGCTACCCAGCTTCCAGTTTGTTTAGACAGCATATTCAAACATGTTGTTGTTGTTGTTGTTGGTGGTGGTGGCGGCGGTGGTCGTCGTCGTCCATCACAAACGATGATGCCTAGTTCCTTCTTGCGCTGTCGAGTGGGTTTTAGGGTAAAAAGATGACTGATAAGGCCAATCTTGGCAGAGAATAACCTGAAGTAGAGCGGGCAGGGAATCTGGGCAGCGTCAGTTCGGGATTTTCAGATCTCAGTCGTTTCTGCTTTGTCGCTATTGAATTTTTCTGCTACCTCACAGGCCTCTGCTCGTGGACTTAGAGATAAGCGCCAGGATGATCTGTTTTACTACTATGAATAAAACCTTCTTGTTCAGCAGACCCATGACTCTAAAATCACAGCATTTTCTCGTTGTTAAGATAAGTCAAGAACCGACAAAATACCTCTAAGTACATTCATGTAAGCGCTCCGTCTCTATCTTCAACCGCATTAGCAGAGTTCCAGTTTCAATAGTGCCAGTAACAGTCTGATGGTATGTCTGTCTCGCCTTTTCCCTGAGTGTTGAGTGTGGGCGAGATCCCCTTGTGACTCCTCAATGCACCATTCTCTTCAGACCTTGATTATCTGCGTGTGCCTCCGCCCCGTTCCAAAAGGCCATGTACTTATTTGAGACTAGTTCGGCATGCAGATTTTCCTTTGAGTCATATAGTAATTTTTCATCGCATCTGTAAAGCTTCAATCAGTGGATGCGGATAAGGGCCAAAGGCAAATAAGTTTAAAGTCTTTGATAGCTAGGGAAAAGACAAAGTAAGATATGACGTGGGCAGGAGTGTGGAAACAACATGGAGGTGTGGCTGAAGGTGCCAGAGAATATTATCATCACAAATCCAAGAATTTACTGGTAAATTAGATACAATTTAAATCGACATATTTTTCTCCACAGATAAATCGTGTTGCCAATCAGACACAGAGATTATCTCACCAATCTCAGAATCCAGTGACAATGTTTTCTTGCGAAGTTTCAGTTCTAAGGACCTTGACAGTAACATGGAGCAGATCAATCAGGTAATATTGACAGTGTGCGTACTTTAGTTCTTTTCTTCTTCTTCTTCTTCTTCTTCTTCTTCTTCTTCTTCTTCTTCTTCTTCTTCTTCTTCTTCTTCTTCTTCTTCTTCTTCTTCCTCCTCCTCCTTCTTTCATCCCAAACTCTGTCAAAAAAATTGTTACTTCAAATAACACGGAGCAGGCGTGGTGTAGCGGCTAGACACTCACCTGTGGATCTTACCGTCGAGGGTTCAAATCCGAAAGAAGTCGAATATTTTTTTTTTCTCCAAAATTGATCTTTGGCTACCAGATTGATCCAGCCTTAAATAAGTACCCGGTGAATTCATGGGTAGCAAAGGCGGTCAGTGTTATCTTAAGCATATCACCCACCGAATGCCGAATGACTGTAAAATATAGGTTCAGCGCTATATTTCCGATATGCTCGTAGTTAAGTTCTACATTGTTTTTTATATTGCTAAAGACTTGCGGAGACGCTCTCTTTGGGTCTCACACGTCTGTTTTTGATTCTGTTGTACCTTGCGGTGTTTCGCGGGTTTTACATGTGGATGTATATACACGTGAAATGTTGTTATTCTTCCGGTCCATCGTTTGCCTGGTCGGTCGCTTTTTCTGTTACTGCGTTGTCCGTACACCATATGTTCGTTGTAGTATACATTTTATTTAGTACCCAAGTTAAATGGTCGAACCAATTTCACCTATTCTTCTCTAATGAAATCTGGCTCCAGTATTTCTATTTGCTTTCAAATGTCATCTCTTCTTTGTCTCTTCTCATCTCGATGTGTTCAGTAAAGTTAGTCGTGTGTTTTTACTGTATGTTGCAGAATAAACACCATCATCTTTTGGTTGTTTGGTTTTAACTTGCCAGTTTTACGGCCAGTAGTTTGTCATTGACTGAGCAAGCAGTGCTCCATATCATTGTCGAAATCAGCATCAAGCGACTTCCTACCACATCGGCGTGCAGCTGGAATCATACTGGGTATTTCCAAATTAGGAAGCGTGTTCGCGACGCCTGGGCCACATTTGCAGACACATGTTGAGTGGTGTCCCAAAATTTCTAATGGCAAATGTATTTTTTTTTTTTTGGGGGGGGGGGGGGGGGGGGTTAGTGGGGGTGGGGTTATCTGTCTGGACCAATCCAAACTGGAATTCTGAGTTCATATACAGTGAACCCAGAAAGACAGAAAAAAATCGTTTATAAAAACGTTCAATGCAAGTATAAGTTTAAGAACGTTATTAATTATTGTTTTCACAGCAGGGCCTACCATATCAGAGTCATGAATGATTGTTTTCACAGCAGTGCCTATCATATCAGAGTCATTAATGATTGTTTTCACAGCAGTGCCTATCATATCAGAGTCATTAATGATTGTTTTCACAGCAGTGCCTATCATATCAGAGTCATTAATGATTGTTTTCACAGCAGTGCCTATCATATCAGAGTCCAGACGCTGACCTGAGATCGTCTGCGGCCATGTCCACTAAAGCACTAAAGATGTTAGGAGTGCTAGAAGAGGACTTGTGCCTTACGACAACCTCCACTGCCACAAGTTCATGCATCAGGTAATGTCGACTACCTATATATTTTTATCCTACAATAACTTTCACTGGTAGCAGACATATGTTTCTTTACTTGCAAGGAGCAGGAGTTGATTGCACAGAGGATAACGAAAAAATGCTCAGGAATGAATGAATCGATTACGAGCAATATGCCAGGAATAAACGGGGCAATATGAGGGTGATATCTTTGATGATGAAGATGATGATAATGAAAATTATAATGATGATGATGGTAGTAGTGGTGTTGGTGCTAGTGATGATGATGATGACGATGATGATGATGATCCATCCACTAAATTATATAATCTGTAATAACATAAACTATAAAGATGTTCCTAACACTAACATTTAACATGTATTATTCACAAATTATATTCTCACAGATCTGATAGTTCTATCTCAAGTCCTGCCACCCCTGCTGGAAATGTGTACTATCCTGGACTCTCCCAAGTGTTGTCAGATCCCCTCAAGACATGTCTCAGCAACAGTGTGGAAGCAACAAATCTCAACGGGGTGGGAGTCTTGTGTGCGTGTTTGTGTCTGTGTGTGTGTGTGTGTGTGCCTGTGTGTGTGTGTGTATCTCTGTGTGTGTGTGTCCATGTGTGTGTGTGTGTGTCCGTATGCATGTGTGTGTGTGTCCGTGTGTGTGTGCGTCCTAATACCAAATATGCAGGTGTAGAAAGAAATGAACAAGCTGAAGGTCTGGCGTACAGTGCTACTGGGGCAGACGGACTGGCAGTGAGACTCTTATATAAAAAAGGACCCTTTTCGACGCTTATAGGCTACTGTGAATCTGGATCTAGACATATATTTTTATAGAGCAATCGGCACTTGGTGGGTCATGTGGTCAGCATCATGCCGGCCGCATTTGCTTCCCAAAGACTGCACCTGGTACCCACACAAGGCTGGGTCGACCTGGGAGTCAAGGTCATTTCTGAAGGGAAAAACAATCCGGCTCCATCAGGGCGCGAGCCCACGACTTTCCCATCCGCAGGCCGGCGTCTAGCCACCAACGCCACAGCGAATCCCCTTATGCTATATACTTTACAAGGAAATATTTGATATTTTCACCAATCAAGTGATGACTGGGATTCTGCAACAACGGTCGACTGCCGCTACAGGCTGTGGGATGTATCAATGGATCCAAGCACTTATGTGAGCGGTTCGATCTGCTGTGAGGGTATTCAGTCGACTAACTAGCTTGGATCAAACAGTTATTACTTATCTCAATTCTACCTAAAGGTGGGTAGGTAAGTTGTACCCCACTAGGACATCACACACGCGATAAACACCCGGTGACACAAAGTGCCACTATGCTGATGAAGATCACACTTGGAGAGGTCACGGAAACCCCGTTCAGCCGTTAGGCCATAATTAGCGACCGGCAATATTCAGGGCGGGAGTCGCCGTGGCGTAGCGGCTAGACGCTCGCGTGCGAATCGGAAGTTTGTGGGTTAGCTCCCTGGCGGAGACGGACTTTTTTCAAAAATGACCTTGACTCCCATGTCGACCCAGCCTTGAATGGGTACTGAGTGCAGTCCCGGGAAGTAAAGGCCGCCGGTGTGATGCTGACCACATCACCCATCTTGTGTCGATTGGTCTAAAAAATATAGGTCTAGTCCTATATGCCCTATACGTCTAAAAGCGTGGAAAAGAGACTTTTCCTTTTTCTTATACTCAAGGCCCCCGTCAGAAGCCAGGGTGAGGCTCCAAATTAACTAAATATTTAATTCCACAGGGGGACGCTTCGATCTACCCAAAGTAGTAGTAGTAGATTTTTACCACACTAGTACATCACACAAGTGATAAACACCCGATGACACAAAGTGCCACCATGTGAAAAAGGATCACCGTGGAGAGGTCCCAGAAACCACGTTCAGCCATTAGATCATATTTATAGTCGGGCTATATTGCGGCCCCTGGAAGAGCCAGGGTGGGGCTTCAAAACAACGAAATATTGCATCTCACAAGGAGATGACTGAATTGCTACCCAAGGTAGTAGAAGTAGTTGACTTTCTATCCCACTAGTACATCACACAAGCGATAAACACCCGATGACACAAAGTGCCACCATGTGGATGAGGATCACCGTGGAGAGGTCCCAGAAACCGCGTTCATCCATTAGACCATATTTATGGTCAGTCTATATTGCGGCCCCTGGCAAAAGCCAGAGTAGTGATTCAAATAAAAATAAATTTTCATTTGACAAGGAGATGACTGGATTACCCAAGGCAGCTATTTCTATAAACCAATTGATGTAAATACAGAGTCAAAATGTTTTCAAATAAAAGCATTCAGAGGGAAAGAATTAGGAAAACAAATCTTTTTGTTGATATGTAAACGGTATATTATTGTGACATATAAAGTATTCAGATGGAAAGAATTAGGGGAACAAATCTTTTCGTTGATATGTAAACTGTATATTATTGTGACATATAAAGTATTCACCTAATAAAAAATTATAACCTAGAAAAAAAAAATTCTTTATTTCTCATTTTTTTTTCAGCATGACTCCAAACTGAGAACTTTTACCAAGATCGTCTCGTTTTTCGGCAAAATGAAAAACAAAAGGTCCAACAGTTTAGGGGAGAATACTTCTGTTGCTGGTCGTTCTTTAAAGGTGAATACTTACTTCCCTTACTTTCGTAGATAGTATCTAGTCTTTGGAATAACCGACCATGCCTCTCACCAACCAATGCGCTCTGCTATACATCTCTTTCTCTCTCTCTCTCTCTCTCTCTCTCTCTCTCTCTCTCTCTCTCTTTCTCTCTCTCTCTCTTTCTCTCTCTCTCTTTCTCTCTCTCTCGCTCTTACTTTCAAACTCTGCGTGCCTTTGTCAGTTTATATCACTTAAAATCCCTGTCTGCCTCAGTGTGTGCCTATGTGGGTGTGTATATGTATGGGTTGGTGTGTCTCTGTGTTTCCTTTCCTCTATCTGTGTACCTAATTATATTAACAGTTGGCTGCTATGAATAAAATCAAGCCGGCCTCCTTCGCTTCCAAAGACATCCCCTGTACCAAGTTTGGACTGGGATCCAGGCTCATTTAAAAGTTAGCCTCCATGGTGGTTCGAACTACAACCCACACTGGTCTTGAGGTTACTTCGTAACCATTTGTGTTACCCTAATATAACTGGCCTTTACGTCCCAGAACTGTACATAGCACCCATTTAAGGATGTGTCGACCTGGGTACAAAGGTCTTTTTTTTTAAATTAAAGTAGGAAAAGGCGGGGAAAAAGGGGGGGGGGGGGCAAGTGTGGTTTCGTTCGAAATTAAACCCACCACCTTAGGATCAACAGGCGGGAATCTAGCTTCTGCATCATGGTGGGCTCCCCCGCAGGGTTGGCAAATCTCATAAAATGGGTACCGTAAAAATTAGTTAGCTAAAAGTAATCGGCTTCAAATGATGATACTGATCATATCACCAGCCAAATTAAAAAGCCATTAAAATATATCCAAACAAGAAGCGCAGCTTGAATGTGACGGCTACAGAGCTTTCATCAGCACATGACACAATGATGCAGTTGCAAACGATAATCCATAGAATCACACATCTACAAGTCAAGATCTTGTCATAAATACTCCTTAGCAAGTCTGAACAGTAGAAACCCTGAGTGCATGTGTAATGCATGAATGGGTTACTGAACGGGAATTAGGCCAGCGAGTCAGGGTAGATTGGTTACGATAAACAACATAGCTGGAAAATGTTAATATAAAGTTGTGTTGGACGTTAAGACTTGTAGGGGTTGAGGGAGGGAGGGGAGAGAGAGAGAGAGAGATAGATAGAGATAGAGAGAGAGAGAGAGAGAGAGAGAGAGAGAGAGAGAGAGAGAGAGAGAGAGAGAGAGAGAGAGAGAGAGAGAGAGAGAGTTAAACAGATAAGACGCTTCTCAATAGGCCTGAAGACTCTTTCGTTGGAACATCTAGACTTGACGGCCGTCACATATATGTGAAGGACACATCTGGAAACCTGAGAGCTAAAATTAATTGGCACTGAAAGGAGGGTAAGACAAAACACCTGCCCTAACGTCGTTAAGTGATATGCTTATTTTGTTAGCGCCATATTTTTCAAAATGGATGTCTTTTGGTCTAAAAGATGGGCGTAGCAGGCCTTTCCAAAATTCTATAGTGCATAGGAGCAAAATCTTTAATGTTTATCCGTGTATCTTGACTGTTTAACTTGCTTGATACTTATTAACTTGTGTTTCTACAGAAAACTTTGAGCAACAGAAGCGATAAATCCAGTAAAGCTGTTTTGGAAACAAGTTCACAGTTGAAAAGTAAGTTCAGTTGACAGGATGTTTGTTATTGTTCAATGAATGTTCTCCTGTCTTGGACACATAATAATAGTTGATGTCAGAAGTCGGCAATGACCAGGGTAACTGTTGACATTATGTGAAAAATATGACCATCCAGAAAAACAAGCAAAGCGAGCAAAACAAAGGAGGTAGACCTGGTGGAAACAAGCGAATATCGTCAGTTACATAAATTAGAAGCAGGCTAGAGAAATTTGGACACGCGCTGACAAGAAACTTTGGTGACAACTGACGAAGTTGAAGAGGAGGGGGGGTGAACAAACAGATAAATACCTGGGCAGCTAGGTCATTGGGAAAGACGAGAATTCTAATCTAATCTGTGATACAGGTAATCGCATTAGATGGCGAACCATGCCGACTATGGCACATGCTGAGGATGATGATGATGATGATGATGATGATTATAACAATGAAGACGACGATGGTGATGGGTACGAAGTTTAACTTCCATACACATCCTGTCAACAGTTTTGTGCAATCTTCCATCAACAGAAAACAAATCTGCCAGCCAAGAGAGAGACAGCGGGAGCTACAGCGATGAAGACAAGGAGAAATCCTGGTCAGGGAGCATCAAAAAGACGAGTAAACCAAAGGAGTTCAGAGGCAGGGGAAAACCACTGGTAATAATTTGTGCACATCTTTTCAACCCACATCAGTCGTCAGTTGATTACAATGTTGTAATCGTTTTGTCGATTAGCACGGTTCTTCTACTTCTTCTTCTTCTTCTTTTTTTTTTTAAGTGCTTCTACTAGTACTAATACTACTACTACGACTACTACTATTGCTAGTACTAATACTACTACTACTACTACTACTACTACTACTACTACTACTACTACTACTATTACTACTACTACTACTACTACTACTACTACTACTACTACTACTACTACTACTACTACTACTACTACTACTACTACTACTACTATTACTACTACTACTACTACTACTACTACTACAATTACTAATACTAATGCTACTAACACTACTGCTATTAATAATACTACTGTTACTGCTACAATTACTAATACTACTACTACTGCTGCTACTATTACTACAACTACTACTAATACTACTACTGCTACTAAAACTTCTACTACTACTACTAATACTGCTACTACTGCTACTATTAATACTACTAATATTACTCTTACTGCTGCTACTACTGCTTCTGCTGCTACCTTTGCTGCTGCTGCTGCTGCTGCTGCTGCTGCTTTTTCTGCTGCTGCTGCTGCATCTTCTTCTTCTTTTCATTGCCAGAGAAACGTAGATTCTTATTCGTTTGGCACCAAGCCACTGGTGTAATTTTACAGCTAGAGTCCCTGCACAAACAACAGCTAGAGTCCCTGCACAAAAAGGTTTCGAGGTTTAAACAAACTCCCTTTGTAACATTTTACCACAGATATAGAATGTTACACTATAACTATTCTTTGTAAACATTTTCATGTGCTTTCTTTTTAGCCAACCACAAGTGACGTCACAGGACACATATTTTAGAGGGTGGTAAGAGCAGGTTTTCCTGTTTCTGTGCTTTAGCGCGTTTCTTTCCAGGCCGAGGTTTTCGCGTGTTTACCTAACACTAACCCTAACTTTAACCCTAACCCTAAATCTAATCAAAACTATACGCTTAATCTACCACCCCTTCAAATATTTGATTGTCCCGTGACCTGTGGATTTCCCTCTTTGTGGTCGGCTAATAAGAAAGTACCCATTTTCAGTCCTGGTAAGGCACTGTCAGAATATGGCTTGTTTATCGTTCTTCTATGCTCAAGAACTGCATTTGTTTGATGTTTTTTTTTTTAAATGGTGTTTTATGAAATGTTATTTCAAGCCGAGAGGTTACAACGTCTGGGGACCCAGGTTCGACCCCTAGTATGATAATAATGGAGTTTTGTTCACAGGGGCTACAATAAACATCCTAACATGCACAGTTAGTGGCGACAACACTAGCCCTCGACTTTAAAACCTCAGGCTCAAGACTGCCCTGTCTACACCGCCCCAACAAAAGTGGTTAATACAAATAGAATGACTGTTTTTTAGAAGGAATTAACTCGAGTCTGACTGTTAAGACAGAAAAAAAGAGCAAGGGATAAGCAAAGAGATAAGTACTTGGACTGCTTAGCCTATGGATGGGGTGAGACAAGAGCACTTATCTGATCTGTAATTCTGGTAGTTGTACTAGTGGGCGAAACATGATGATGATGATGACTGTTTGTACTTAGTTCTTTAGCCCATCCCTTTTGTATGAAATACACTAGTAGCCATGTGTCAGAGGTAAAACGGTACACAAATAAGACAACGTTGGCATAAATTTTTGTGTTTTCGTGTCATTGCTCATCTGTTCCCCCCTCTGTGTTCTTGCAGACGCGCCGTCTATCCCAACGCGCCCAAGCTGCAAGCAAGGAATGTGTACGGGACGCCCCTGAACTTCCAAACTCTATCGTCAGGACGCAGCAAATGACAAGCATGAATGGAAGCAGTTAACTTGTTCTTTTTAACCAACGACCTTCAACTTCCGGTAGCCATGTTTTTTGTTCAGAGTCGAAAGGCAGGATTTTTTTTAAATACTGATTGAAAATGAAATGAAATAATAAAAATGTATGTGAAATGAAAGACTGTCAAAGATAAGAAACATGTTCTTACTTACCTGGCAAACCTTTATGAGTCATTACTAAATGTCAAAAAATATGAGACATGAGATTCGTTTTCTCTGCCCATGGGGGAACGCATTTGCTAACGCGCATTCTTGACGTTTCTGTGAGTTCCTCTTTAGTTGTGTGTTGTTTATTTATCAGCGGAGTTCAGACTTCTTATGCATCCTTTCTTTTTTCTTTTTTTTTCCCCTTCTTTCTTTCTTTCTTTCTTTTTCTTTCTTTCTTTCTTTCTTTCTTTCTTTCTTTCTTTCTTTCTTTCTTTCTTTCTTTCTTTCTTTCTTTCTTTCTTTCTTTCTTTCTTTCTTTCTTTCTTTCTTTCTTTCTTTCTTTCTTTCTTTCTTTCTTTCTTTCTTTCTTTCTTTCTTTCTTTCTTTCTTTCTTTCTTTCTTTCTTTCTTTCTTTCTTTCTTTCTTTCTTTCTTTCCTTCTTTCTTTCTTCTTTCTTTCTTTCTTTCTTTCTTTCTTTCTTTCTTTCTTTCTTTCTTTCTTTCTTTCTTTCTTTCTTTCTTTCTTTCTTTCTTTCTTTCTTTCTTTCTTTCTTTCCTTCTCTGTCTTTATTTCGTTATTCTTTTTCTTCTTGTTTGTCATATTATCATCATTGGGGGCCGCGTTAGCGCAGTCGATAAGAGACTTGCTTTCAAATCTAGCTACGACTCGCTGCAGCCCACGGTCGGTGTTCGAAACCGGGCGGTTCCCGGGGTTCACCCAGCCTCTAGGAAATGGGTACCAGAGTTGACACTCTGGAGTAAATGGAGACCGTCGCTGTAGCTACAGAGTTAAGTGCTGACTGCGACACAAGCGGACAATCCTTTTCAGCTGTCCGTACTGGTGGCAGAGCACTTATGGTTTATAACCGTGTGCAATGACGCTGGTTCAAATCTCCCGACTTTACCTTTACCTTCATTATTATTATTATTATTTTCATTATTGATATTATTATTATCATTATTGATATTATTATTATCATTATTGATATTAAAATTATCATTATTGATATTATTATTATTATTATCATTATTGATATTATTATTATCATTATTGATATTATTATTATCATTATTGATATTATTATTATCATTATTGATATTATTCTTATCATTATTGATATTATTATTATCATTATTGATATTATTATTTCCGCTGAGCTTAGACACTTAACCAACTCAAGCCAAACACATTGTTGACCTGTTCATTGTTGACCTGTTCATTGTTGACCTGTTCATGACTGACTAGGCTTGCGCTGCAAGTTTTCCTAAAGAAAATAAGCTGTGCTCTGGGTAAACGCATCATATAGAGCACTGCTTTCTAAGCTGATCTTCATGATTTTCAAATACTAGGAATCTCCGTTATGCTAAGTAATGACTCTTAATAGGGTATAAATGTCATATTTTTAGCGACTCGGGGCCGCGGTGACGCAGTAGTTAGTAATCTTTTCTCCAGCCTGCTGTGTGTTTATACGTTTCAACCCGCTGCAACAACAAAAACAACTGACCAAGACTCTAAACTTCTTCTGCTTCTTCTTCTTCTCTTCTTCTAGTGCTGTATTTAAACCCTGAGACATCACGGCTTCTGGGCCTACCTCCCCACCCCTTGACCCTATACCACGCCCTTTTTCCCTTTCTGCGTCACACACATACCTACATACTGCTTGCCCTAGATCTGCCTGCCGCCAAGGAGAGGGAAGTTTCTACTATCAAAGGAAGACAAAACAAATTATGTGCGCGTCTCCACAAGGAAAGTTGGCTACACTGTGCCCCCTGTTGTATTTGGGGAGTATTACTTGGTGAGGCTCCAATCTCTTCCACGGTGCGACTCTCAAACCGTCGACTGGAAACCACGAGAGAGTTGATTTTTTAAGATCCCCCCCCCCCCCCACAACCGAGTCCTCTCCGACACACCCTCCATCCCGATCATCAATCCCTACTTTTCGAAGATCACGAGGATTACTTTGGAAAGCCAGGGCTTATCATCGTCATCAAGTGCCTTGCCGACTATCGGGGGCGATCATGCCTCTTCACAATCTGCAAACTTCGGTAGTGTGTACTAGTTTGTGAGCTGATACCCCTGCCTGTCATGACAAAAAGCTGTCTAGAATCTGTTGGGGTTGTTTTCCTCTGTCTCTTATTTACACACCTTTCTAGTGGTCACAAGATGCTCCAGTTTCTTTTTTTCTCATAGCATGACCCCCCCCCCCCTTCTCCTTTTTTTTCCCCTTTCTTTTCCAAGAAAAAAATTATGACTTTATGTTGTTGATGTTTGTGATGCGTTTTCTCTGACCCCTTGCCTCATTAAAAACATCTAGGTCAATCTTTTTGACTGTCACAGAATTCTAAGGATATTTCTGTAAATTCCCAAAGCTTCAAGATATTCTGCTGCTTGTTTTTTTTTAATTGTCTGGGATTTGAACTATACGGGGTGTTTACCCAGAGCATGGTGTCTGTTATTTTACCTAGTCTGTCGTCTGCTCTGAGTGCGTAGATGCTCATTACCTTGTAGCTGTTGAGAAATATTACCTACTTCCTGTAGAATCAAGAAGGCTGTAAATTATTTGAAGATCCTTCTTCTTTAATGACTAGTACACCCGGGTTCAGATTTTATTGATGTCTTTGCCCTTTAAAAACATTACATATGAGAAGTCATCCAAGTTCGCTTCTCTTGACATACTGCTAGAAGAAAGAAAAAAAAAAGATTTAAGTTGCAATAGAGACTGCAAAATGATGGCATCTGTTTTATAAGTAGCATGCTGCCGTAAGCTTGCGAAATGTTCTGAATGTTACTGGCCCTAGATTAATATCTAAACAACTAAAACTGTGGTAATTGTTATTGGAAAGGATTACCAACAGTGATCATGTCAGTCCACCCATCTAGGACAGTGGAGTATTTCAAGTTAATGTCGGCTGTGAAGGAACCAAAGAGCGCAAGCACTTTGAGTACCCCATCGCCCCCCCCCCCCAACCCTCCCTCCACTCCCTCACCATTTTCCCGAAACAATGTTTGGGGAGACGAGGACTCTGGTCTTAGGAGACGCAGTGCAACAAGGCTTGAGCCCACCTCCATCCTTCCTGCCTGAAAATGATAAAGGGCTTAGCCGCCATTCCCCGAATAATTTCTTTTTGTCGGCGGACCTGGTACATTTTTTTCCCTAAGATAACATCTATTCCACAAATAAGTCCCAGTGCGGTTTTTCATGAAGTTTTTAATACAAGCCCTGTCCCAAAAGTAAGCCCTAATTATGATTTGGATAAAATCAATTATTACTTTGTTACCGGTGCACTACGAGCGGTCTGTTTGAACACAAAATGCTCATTGAGGAAAGCTTTACTGCTGGACAGAGGGACGGGTCGGTTGTCCTACAAGAAAATGGGAGTTGTAGGAAATTCAGTCGGGTATTCGGGATTTGTAAAGTTATGGCGATGGTCCAGTTAAATGAATTTATGTAGATTTTTGAATCTGAAAAACAAAGACATCACCGGAATATAACCCTAGTGAATTTTTAGCAAAAATTAATATAAGACCTGGTCATGTTTTCTGGGAGACACGTGTGATTATGTATACATCTTGAAGACCTCTATATGTTTTCCATGATGGGACTGAGCATGCAACACGACCATGCTTTGTCATCTCTACGCTACACTATAGGAAGCAGTTAACATATTTGTTCTCCCATCTTCTCAGCACACCCACCTGTGTCCCCTTGAGACTAGACAGCGTTGTAGAAATGCCATGTTTCACCAATGACTTTGTTGTGTGTTCGACTGCTTTCCCATTTCACAGACCACTGTGTTTTCAATTTCCTCAGTTTGAAACAAGTAATCTTTTTTTTTTTTTTTTTAATACTTGAAAATTTTACTCTACTCCTGTCCAGGTGGGGGAACTTTGAATTTCGGAATGTTAATGGGAAACCAGGTAAGGCAAGGGTTTGGTGAGGAAGGTATGCTCGGCATGGAAAGTTCTTCCCGGAAAATCGTCCTCTCTTGATTAACAGGCGAGTGTGACCAGCACTGGAGATTTTACAGATAGTACTAACATTTAATGGGCGATATGTGGTCATGTCTGCCCTGATACGTTCTCGGAAAAGCGTAGTTACATTCCATTGACAACTACATGCACCTGTATATTGTTTCATGGACCAGGATGTGAATACAGTCACTAAAAATCTCATAACAATCGGTCGGCAAAGGCTTACTTTACTTTAGTCAACCTTTTTGAAAGCTAAGTTGATGTCAAATTTTCCCGTAAGCCTCAGTGATAGTTTCAGTCACTCAGTACGTGTCAGTGTTTGATATGCCCTTCCTTTATTACTTCGCTCTGTTCGTGTTTATTGATTACCCCTTTATACATTTTGATATATTTGGAGAAAGAAAAAAACAATAAATGTAGGCAAATAAATTGAACAAAATCTTTATTTCTGACCCGTGTAATATTTCTTTTTTTTTCTTCTTCTTCTTCTTCTCAGTGTTCACCAGTCGTAAACTCAGGCGGAAAGTTCTGATTGTTCGTCCACCTCTGGACTTTGGTCACTTTCCAGAATTTGGTTTTCGTGTGCACATCAGTTTTACAGATGTCATTGTTTTTTAAGCGTACCTTTCGTCCCTGGCCTCTTAGACCAGTATACTTCGAATTCGAAGGAAATATTCATAATTAGTATCTTTTACCGGGAAGGCTAACCCCGTCAACACATGCCCGCAGAAGTCGAATGTGTTGGCCGAAAGGTGCAAATATCGCAGCCATGCTGTAAACGGACACAACGCGATTACCTCTTCGGATGAACGCAGAAGAATAAGTTCCTTTTTATAATATGCTTTTTGGTCTCTATTCTTTTTTTCCTAAC